ATCGCGGCACACCGCTTCGTATATTCCGTCCAGGGCACGCGCCGGCTCTCGGCAGAGGTAAACTAACGCAACTTACTGAATTGCTTTCATCAGTACTTGGAGAGCTGGGGGTGTATGACTCTACGCCACGCGCCTCACCTGCATCTGACCGAATAGCCGAAGCAACCGATCTCTGAAATCTCTGGTATCTGGGAATCATCGTGTATCTGAATCGCGGTGGTCGTCATCCCTCTGGGTCCGAGCTTTGAATACAATGTATGTGTTCTTTCCGATGATGTTCGGACTCGCCCGTCATCGAGTTGGAACTTGCTACATGCTACAGTCAGTACATGGTCTTGGACTAGTGGTAAGACATGTTTACCATGGAAGTCGTTCCATACCTGTCTGCTGTAGGTACCAACACCGTGATCCGGCCTTGTTGTAGACGAAGGAACGCACGATTGAACCTCGAGAGTATCGCAGTTGAAACAGCGACCGCGAGTATGAGCGAGCGAGCAGCAGATCTCAATCAAGATGAGCTACCGGTATTTCCCCAATGATAGCGCTGCTCACCTCGGGTTCTACCAGCATCGACTGAAGCAGAAACCTGAACACAATGCAGTATTCAGCGGTTACTCGAGTTATTGAATCCGAGATTCTCCAATCTCACCTTCAGTATTCCATCTCAGGATTTCTGATATGTATGGGTGTCCCGCAGGCGAAATGTCCCTGATCAAGTGCACGCACGCTCGTGATGAGCATTGGAGCGTGTATTGCGCGCATGATTTCGCATGAATGCGAAAAGCTCGCGCGCAAGGGCCTTGAAATCTGTCATCTTGATACTATATCATACTCTTTGACGACGAACGGACAAACGTTATGCAACCGTTATAATGCGGAAAGATGGGACTTACGGAAGTACCCCCGGACCCGCGTTTTGGACTCGGAATACTTGCGCCGTCGCACTACCAGGTACTATGGCCTGTACTGTTCGAACACGATCGGCGCCCGTATCTGCATCTGCCCATCGAATCACGCCGGCCTAAAGGATGAAATGAACACCGACTCTGCTATTGCCGAGATATATTCTACTCACCACCCCGCATGAATCAGGCAGCGATGCGCCCGAGCTCCGACTGCTATTGAAACTGTGCGCCTCCGAAGACAAGCTCCATCAAACCCCATCAGCGTTCAAGATGTTTTAGGGACTTGCCAGTGTTCAGTGGGATTTGAATAACGGGTACTGAATTGCCAACGAGAGTTCCCGGTGAATGTCAGACTACGGATTGATCCATGCACGATGTAGGGTGCAGAGGGTGTGGCAGGGTCCGAGACAAGACCCGAATCTGGGGGACTCTTAGAGAGGCTTTGTGGTGACAGGCATGTATACTGGTTGTAGCAGTTACTGCCATTGGTTAGTCTCCTTCACAGACCTTATACTCACACCAGTTTGACTAGACGATATCAGACTCGGACGCCGCCTGAGTCGGGTCAAAGTCAATAAGAATCGTATTGAATTTATGCTTTAGCTAGGTCAATAATGTGGGAGTAAGGGGAAGACTTAGTTAAGTAGGAACCCGCACGCGCAGTACAATACAAACTCACTTGATAATTAACTCGAATAGCAATACGGGATCTCAGACGGGTCCTACAAAGTCGACATGATTAGTGCTTCAGGCACCGATATATGCACAAGGCTGAGAATGAATTTGGAACGACAGATAATTGGGACGACATACCATGGGTCAATCGCTCAGCAAAGTTGAAGATCCGCTTACTTCTACCAAGTTTCTTTTGCATATTCCGATTGTATGCAGGCATATGATATACTGGAGAATGTGAACGGTCAGAAGGTCTAGCGACAACAAGTAAAGTAAGACGCCCTACGGCCATGGTCAGTAGTTGGTCGGCCTAAGTATGAATTGTATAAGATTGTATAGAGATCTCGATAGGAAAGCGCATCACACCTATCATACGAAACTCCGCTAGCGCGTTCAAATATCAAATCGGGTTGAGAAAGTATCGGGGTACAATGACTGGCACGCGTGCAGTTGCTCTCCATCGGCCCACGCTATGGTGACTCCCCAATGTGGATTTCGACAAATTGAATGGGCTGCAGTAGACGGTAAGTTGACAATCGTGGTTCTTATCCGCGGCTCCCTCGTCCGCGCCTCTAAGAGTTATGTTCTATTCTGATTCAGCATGGTGAGTTGATGGAGCTTGTTTTGTTATCGTGGCTCTCACCCACTTGTTGTGAAGTCTATGCTTAGAGAAAGGTACAGCAGGTGGCGGATGTGTATGGGTAACCGGAGACATGCGCTGCCCAAGCGTTAGCCACAGCCAATGGTATTCTGGGCGGGGATGACCGACGCGCCCGACCCACATTGTGCCACCTACAACCAACGGTTCGTAAACAGTATAGGCTAAGGAACTAGAGTCCGTCCATACCTTCTTCAACTGGGATATGGCGCAAGCGCAAGCTGGATATAGCAGAAGCTCACCAATTTCATGGGGGGCCAGATGGCTCAGTGGTTGCCTCTGGTTCCTGGCTGCAAAAGAGCAGTCGGAAAGACCCTCGGGTCGCGGGTTCGAATCCCGCAAGAAAACCACTTCGACCCATAACGCTTTGACCAAACCCTAAACCCAACGACCACACGCCTCTCTGCTCACAATGCTGCATAAGCAGCGCTGACCCATTGGGCCGGTCCAAAGTGACCCTAATGCCCACCCTAAACCAACAACGTCTCGACCCATATCCCCCGCCGTAAGGTATATTACGGTAGTGTGTCTTGGCTTCCTTGTATAATTTGTACATAGCCTGCTCGCACTTAAAATCCAAAGAATTCTCTCTCTCACCAATTTCATGTCATCTTCTCCGTACCATTCCGCATCTCCGTACCGAGTAATGTCTGGTTACTTGTTCTGCTCTTCGCTGTCGGTTCGCTACAATACGTTCTTGGTATTCAATCCTACCACTGACGTCACGGAAGGCTGATGCCTTGACATTCTTACCGCTGGTCTGTCACATTCGTGTCAAGACAACGCGGGTGGGTTATGTCAAGTCATAACGAGAGGACGTCTATAGATTGCTTCTTAGCCACGTAGTACGTTCGCGTGCCGCTGCCTTGCATCGATAAACGACCTGATATTTCTGCAACGTGTTAATCGACCGCGAGTGAACCAGAAATGAGGGCAAAATACGCGAGGCCGAGCGAACGAGCAATTAGCGATACCAAGCCTCAAAGTGACGTTACAAGGTTTGCATGAAGGGCCCGATTGCGTGTCTCCCAGCTCAGAAGCTCATCGAGTCCCCGCTTCATCTCGCCTGTTGACTTCTCTCGCACAGCATAGAGTCGGCTGGTGTCACCAGCTGTCGGAATGAACGTAAATGTGAGATAGAGAGGGCAGGGCGAGGGTCTAATCACAGAGGACCCAGAGCTTTGGTCACAAGTTGACGAGAATACGAAGATTTGTGAGCCTACAGAACCTGGTCCATTGGGTGGTCCAGTCTCATTGGATCGTCTTCCCGTGCTCCAAGAACGGCACAGCCTGGCATACAACATAGCACGAAGGTGTCTTTATTAACGGGGCGCTGGTCATCTTCGTATTGCGGGACGGACCGGACGCCCTGGCTACGTACAGATAGTCAGAAGACCTTGGTGTGTCGTTCAAGGCGGGTAAAGCGGATGGAATGCTCAATGTGGGGAAGAGATGTGGCGACCAGTAGAAGAGAAATGCGCGTGTAGAAGAGAGTAAGCTCCTGTGAGATCGCAGTCAATACGTAACGTGGAAGCAAGGGGTTATGGTCTGCACGCGCGGCGACGTACCTAATCCCGCATCTATGCATGGATCGGTGCGGAATGTACGAGTCGAACAATGCACTGATACGATCTGGGAACATCCGCGAACAGAATAAAACACACCGCGAATCCGATGCTGCCGCGATAAACGAAACAATGCGGACTACAGCAGGGTTGTCATGATGACTCCTTCCTTTTCTTCCTTTTCTTCTTTTCTCCGGTGCCAGCCGGTGTGTCACCCGAAGCCTCTCTGCTTCGTTTGCCTGCGGGATTAACAGAACTACTTCCCTGCTCTTTACGAGACGCGGGAGGAGGCGCGTCCACACCGGCGGGCTTGAGGAACCCAATGGAAGACGGCGGTTTCGACTCCTCTTCCTCGAACATCTTCAGCGGAGTTCGCTGGCCTCTAACATGGTCTTCGCGTATCAGCATTTGGGCCGTTTTGTTCCTCTTTGCATCCTTAAGCTTCATAGACGTCAACGGAGATTGGAACCCAGAGATTGTGACGGGCCGCGCTGCTTTCCCGCTTGTTTTGGAGGTGCCTTGATCAGTCGCAGTCTGAGCTTCCTTGTCGTCTTTTGACTCGATGACCTATGGATTGAACGATTTGAGCGGATGACAGTCCCAACACGCAGCCCGCTGCTGCACACCCAACAAGGTGTCATGAATCACTTACGGGTTCTTGTTGTACCTCTTGACCGCGAGCATTGAATGTACGACGTCCCTTCATTCTGGTGGCTTCACTCGAGGGCGCATCAGGGTCACCTGCTGAAGAGAAGAGAAAGGGCAGGTAGGAAGATTCATGGGTAAGGTCTTCAGGCCTGAATGTATCTTGTAAGATTTCCTCTGCTTTCTTCATTGTATCAAGCTGGAAGAGCACATATGACTTACCCGGAACTAGATCCAATACCCCATGCCTCCTTTGTCTCCTGCGATACTTCCCATTCTGCTTCGTCCTTGATCTTCGCCTGTTGGGCTGCGACCTCCGCCTGTTGCCTTGCACGTTGCGCGTTTTGCATAAACCGCAGACTAAGCGTACCGTTGCTTATTGACTTGGACATTGTGACTACGCCGACTGGAGGTTAGAGGTAGTTCGTGGTTCGTTGACAATATTATTAACCCTTCGAATTCAATGTAGCTCAGTGAGTGCATTGAGCAGAAGGCTGCAACTTTCTCGCGCTTATGGCCAAACATTAATGTTGGTAACTTAAAGGAAATCAAGCCGTCGTAGCATAATGGTAGTGCGTTGCCCTCCTAAGCTGCTTAGGAGCGCAGGCAAAGGCTGTGGGTTCGAGTCCCACCGTCGGTAGTGAGATGATTTTTTTTTTTTCGCCATGCTAATGGCCCTTACCCTCGATTTCAGGAAAGTAGGAAGCACTTAATTTCAGCAAACATAAACCTTCTGGTTTCCGAGCACAATCTGCCGATATTAATTATGTACCCACCGACTGCAGTCTCAGGCTCTCAGTGACTTGTCAGTGTCTCAACACCGCCGTAATACGCGGTAATACAGTCAGTCAAACCACGCACAATGACTCAGCAGTTCGAGTGGAATTTCAATATTCCAAGCTCAGATGTGACTGAGATCTGCACAACCCATAATGAACGGTAAGGTTGTGTCGGCGTGTTGTACATTATTGAGCTGCCGCGCCGATCGGTCATCGTGGCGGTGTATACATGACCTCCGACCAGCCAGTAGTACTTCACTATCGCTTCACTCTGGTAACCACTTACTGCATTATGTCTAATATTTCCTTGGAGACATACAGAGTCCGAAATTCTGACGAGGCTTACTATATACCCGACTTTGTTTCCAAGGACGAGGAGCAATATCTCATACGGAAGGTGCCGTTGGCGTTCAATGAACGATCTTGTTTACGCCGTCTTGAAGGCGAGTGCATTGATGCTATGTCCGTCACAGATTTGCGAATCTCCGCAACCTAAGTGGAAGAAATTGCACAATCGACGGTGAGCATCCGGTACTTGAATGCACCCTGGTCTCCGTCTTGTGCACGCCACCTAATATTAATCCTATGCACAGCTTGCAAATATGGGGTATGAACGCCTCACCGTTCCACGAACGTCATATACCTCATGCTTAGGGCATGAATGGCCTACACAGGAGGAGAGCTAACTGCTAAGAATCAACTCATCCCCCAGCCATTTCCCGACTTCATAGTCAAATTGTAGGATATCCTCTGTTTTCCTTTCAGCGCGGACTCTCATAGCAGCCCGTCTAGTCCCGATGTGTTAGGACGAATACAAGCTACGGGTTCATTTCACTCATCCCCCCACGGGCGGCCGAACCATGTCATATTGAACGAGGTATGTCACTCTATACCCGCATCCTGGTTGACGTACAATCCATTGAAAGAAAGTGTATGGTAGTATTTATCAGGTCAGGGGATTATGGTGAACGACACTCTGCTCAGAACCTGTCGAAGACCTACTCATGTGTTACGCGCAGCCTCACGAAGATGGTCCTTCCTACCATCCAGTCGTAGCCACGTTATCTCTTGGCTCCCATGCGGTATTTCACTACTACCAATACAGGTCAGAAGAAGACGCAACAGACGATGTATCCGGTAACGGCCGGTCGATTGACTCGACACCTGTCGTATCCTTACTTCTCGAACCTCGCAGCTTGGTTATTACGCGGGGCTTTTTGTATCGAGATCATTTGCATGGGATTAACGATGTCATGGAAGACGTTTTCCCTGGAGTCGGAGGCTTGCGAGATGGAATCGAGATAGCAAACGTGGATCTACTGGCCGACGAAGCGTACCGAGAGATGGTCATACAAGGTGGGACATCCAAACGAGACACAAGGTATAGTTTGACCTGTCGTGATGTCGAGCGTGTGGCAAAGCATGTCCCTCTTGCAACACGTTGAATGATACGGGTATGAACGTCGCTCGTTGAATGTTTATCAATAGTGCTGATTATGGGACTTCATAGCCGATACGTTTCTTCATTTCAGATGGAATCATTATCTATGAAGGCATACTTCCGATGCATGCGTTTTTAATGAACATGGTTCATGGCAGAGACCTGGTAAGGGGAGTGCCACACAGCCTTTTGAAATTTGCGCGTCATTGGACAAGAACCCAGGGAAGACTCTTCGTTCTCTGATACATGCAGACCGATGTAATCGCACAGTGTATGTCCTCCGGAGTATCTTTGCTCTCACCACTGTGTGGAAGAATGTGTCGCAATCTAACGTACATTGCTTATGGGCGCCACAGTAAACTTCCCTGACCACCCCAATTCTACATCACACCCAACCCGGCTTTAAGCTCCTTTTCGAGATCCCCTAGGCCCGTCTGGCTAGCTGGGGTATCATCAACCTGAGAGTCTTTCTCCTCGTCCTGACATCTCGCGCATCTACAAGTGCCAAAGCCCCACTCGAGCAACTGTCTTCTTCGTTCCTGAAAGGGCAGTGCTGGGTTCACGTACGTGATGAGAAGTTCTTCGCCAGGCTCAATATCCCTTTTGGCAATGATCGTGATACGCGACAAAGTCGTCTTTTGATCTAAGTGTCTAACGGACACATTCGGGGCGCATGAGTGATTGAGGTGAGAATGCAATACGTAGAGGCCACCGTGCGCCTCCAAATCTGACCTCGGGCATTAGTACCATTGATATTTAAATGGGCGTGAAATAGATGAAAAATGATGAACTCAACTAAGACTCATACGGCCGAGTCCCCATAGGAACGCATTATACTCGAAAAATTCACCCTTGAGCTCAGAAGGAATCCGTTTCCGCAGTATCTTAGCCAATTTCTTTTTTTCCGCCTCACTGTAAGGTTCGTCGAATGCTTGGACGTACAGCTGGAATGCTCTTTTCCATGTGGCATGGTCTGGTTCCGCGCCACCACCAAGCCTACGATTGCAAGAGGTATCAATGTTCTCCTGTGCATCAACATAGTTTTCGAAGACGGCTTACCATCCCACCTTCACGCGTTCTTCCAAACCGAGGGACGCAAGCGACCGGCAGATATCCAAATCGCCTCGGAAGGTCGTCTCATCTTGTTGAAACGAAAGTAATACACGGGCGGTGCACTGGGCGAGAGCATGCAGCGCCATCCATTCGTTTTTCCTTGCAAAATTCAGCAAGGGAATCGACGCAGGGTTCCGAGCCGGACACAAGAGAGGGTGAGTTTTGGAGGAACGTGACAAACAGAGTCGATTGCAAAATTGGGCAGGACATGATGGCGTTAACGCTCCACCGGAGCACTCTACGATGAGAGGAGAGCCTCTGCTCAAAGGTGTTGAGCAATGTGCACATGCAGCTGAGTTTCTCTGAAGATCGAACAGATCCCTGTAAGGAATAGGCGCGATTGCATGCTTAGTGCTGTCTAGCGAAGGGAAGATGGCAGGAACAAGACCAACCATTCTGGTGCTAAAATAAATGGATCCTCTTTCCAGACTGTCTCACCTTCTACAATTCGTTCTTTTGCAATCAACCCCTTCCCTCTTTGTTTGTCAAAGAATTTTACTTCAATCTTGGCAGAGTACTTTGAGAGATCGAGACCTTCGATCAGTTTTGATTTTGGTATGATGGCGCCCTTCTGCTTTGCTTCCCCATGAGTTTGTGGCGCGCACTGGACAAGTCCTTCGTTTTGGAGGACTTTTCGGGTCCGCTTCTCGCTCACTGACCAGTCGGGATGCTGCGAGAGGAGGAGAGCATGGACCTTGCCGATGCCGATGGTGGGATTCTCCTTTTTTATGGAGATAACCGCGTGCCGCAGTAATTCTTCACCAGGATTCATTGCAGGCTGAGCTGCGGACACGGCTAAAGCTTCCTATTTGCGTGGAAACGTATCGCCTGAGAACTCTGTGCACCCTCACTTCCGGTCTTTTCAAGTTCCTAGATGCTTCTTGATCAAGGAACGCACTGGTGAGAAGAGACATGGGGTTGCGTGCTATGATCCTATAGAGAAGTGACACCTACCGAGACTGAAAGCGAAACTGATAGATGTCGTACGAGGATAGCTGGAGGAACTGCTTACTTTTGCGAGTTAGAATCTTCTTGATGGGTTTATGTTCTTAGTGGCCTGCCCGATGTGGATAGCTCGTGCTTACTCAGCCGATTTGTTGCAAATTCTACGCTCAATTTCGGCATTAGGGATTTACAATTCTCAAGTGCAGACGTCCTGAGGACGACGAGGAGCCCCGCTCGCATCAACGGCGACTGACAGCCGAACGGAAAATCTGAGCAAACGAGTTCTCCTCTTTTGGTAATGGCCCTCAAGAACTTCATGTCAGAGCCCTTTCGACGAGGTTATCTCGACCTCTTACACTCGTGCATGCATGGTAGCAATACACAGGAAGTTTCTGAGAGTTAGGGAGGAGTCTTGGGCTCAAAATTCACGACTGAGCAGAAGTGTCCCCTTCCATTTTGGGATGGTATGTTCTCGAATCCCCAGCGGCCGTCAGTCGGCATATCACCCGTTGATGCAGGTGGGGCCTCCTCTCGTCGCCCTCAGGACGTCTGTGCTGAGAATTGTAAATCTCTATTGTCCCCTGTCCTCGTCGTTGTGACGTTGTCCCTCCAACATGAAATTCAAAGACACTAGAGTGTATTGGCGGTGCAAAATATCGGCGAGTTTACAACCATCCTCGCTTAGTTTTGTGCAATTGGAGCGAGACTTTTTGCAAGTGGTGCGCTCCAATGCCGAGCGCCTCCTCGCTTGGGCACCGAGGGACAATTGTCATTGGCTGAGAGGCCCGAAACTGCCAGCTGCTGCCGAAACCCCACTTCCGAAAATTATTAGGTGGAGCGTCACTTTTGGCCAGGTGGGTCCTCAAAAATATCGTGGAGACGTGATATTTCCCGCGGCCAATACACCCTACTCTGATCTAGAGAACAGCAGGGCAAATGCTGGCCAGCTGGCAAATTATTCGCTTCCATAACTGCTGCAGAAGTATGCCACTCAATACTCCACAATCCCTGTAGTCATGCCATGAAATTTGAACTAAAGTCGCATGCTGGCCATGCCGGCGTCTCCAACACAACAAGAAGAGATGGTCTCAGATGGATGCTTATAGCCCTCGGTTGCGAGGTAAGTACGTGAACTGTATATCAAGAATCCTGGCAGTGAATGGAGATATCGACCCGCTGCTCACGATAGATTGCCCCTTGGAAGAAGTACGAACATGAAGTACTCTCATGTATTCCCCGTTTTAGATCAGGCATTTTCCATCTCAAAAATGCGCACCCAGACCCCGAGTCGACGCGGACGAACGTCAAGATCATCGTTCCGTCTGTATCATTCATCTTCATGAGTAGATCATCAAGATCCCC